TATAGAGTTATGATTTTTTAAATAACATGATGTCAAAAAATCCGCCCAAAAGCTTATCTTATTTCTGTTGGTTACGCACCGCTGATTCGCAATGTTTGTCATCACTTCAAGATGTCTACCGATTCGTGAAAAAGGCGTATTAGTAACAGGAATTAGTTTTAAACAGGTTCATCTAACTAGCTAACTAACTAAATAGTGTTACACTGTTAGTTAGCCTAGGCTAGACCTATTCCTAACCTTCCTAACAGCTAGCCTAGGCTAGGCCTCTACTGAGCTTAGGCCTAGCCCTACTAGCCTAGGCCTAGGCTAGCAGCTAGCCTAGCCTATATAGGCTAAGCCTCTAGGCCTAGCTAAGCCGCACACTACAAACCAGCCTAATATCACTTACCGGTAGTACAATTTGTAAATACGTTCCGAAACAAACCTAAGTATTTAACTTTATCACGGGTAGAACCTCAAAAATTAAATGGCTAAACCAACACAATTTGTAAGCACAAATTCCGCGCCATGGAATATTTATTTGGATACTAGACTATAACCAAAGCTATAACTTAACCTGACGTTGAAATACTGTAGAGGGCAGCAACCATGAAAGTGGTCGATCATATTTTTTTGTACAAGGTTTATGTAGAAAGTCAATTTACCTTCGCGAAAATGGTATCGCCCAGGCTATTCTTTTGCATTAACGATTTTGCAATGTCTGGCTGCTTTTTGCAAAGCGTGGCTGACCTCGCCTCGCTGCCGGTCTGCAGCAGGATGCAATTGGAATTTCCCATAGAGTTATTATAATTCTATGGAATTTCCACAATTTCATAAAATGTGACTAAAGGCCTATTTATATTTTTTCTTTTTAATATTTCTTTATTACCTCCAGTTCTATAGATATGATCGCATTAGATGTGTTCTGAAAAATGCTGCCATCGTCAATGCTGTATCTCGTAGGCCTAGACTGAATGATATTGTTGGATTTTTTTTTTCAAAGAGATCTGTATCTACCCTTGGGTAAGGTAGGCCTTTAAGATTCATATCATATTCCTGCATCGTATGATAACTTTCGTCCAAGCTGCTCTCACAAAGCGATCGTACGTTGACTTTGTCCTCGTGCTGCTGTTTTCTATAATTTTTGTCCATTTTTGTGTTTACATCGCTCAGTTAATATTTCGTTATTTGACAATTGTATTTTTTATATATTGATATGTACTTCGAAACTGACTTTATTGTTTTTATTTCATTTCTGAAACCAAAAATTGGTTATATGAGGGAGTTTTCACGAAAACAATAAAAGAATATTAAGACAACCCTTACAGTAGCATGTCTGTTACAACGTAAGCCATCCAAACCTTTTACATAAATCAACGATCATATTCAGCTTGTATATATATTTTCAAGACTGTTTAAGGCACAAATGATGATAATGATGATGACGTATTCATTATCGTTTTTGTAATGTTACAAAACCTACCTAATTATCCATGACCAAAGATCCCGAGGTGATTAAATTTTGAAGGGTTTAATATAATAATATAGTTGTGTGGTTATGTCTGTTGTCTACAACACAAGCTCTTTACAACAATCTGCGAAAAACCAGCTTTTTATATACAACAGCCTATCGCCGATAATTTTTATTAGAAATTCTTTTTTTTGTCACAATGTTCCATGACCAACAATCTAAAAATGATTACATTTTGAAGGGTCAGGGTCAAAGGTCAAGGTCACAAATCGACAAAATATCTACTAAATTTTAACCTGATTTGCACAGATATCACTAGAAACTTGTCAAACTCGGCCACAATATTCCATAAAGTTCTGGAAGTGACTAGATTTGAAAGGTCAAAGGTTAAGGGCACAATGAATGAACTACTCTTTTATCTGTAGGCCTATGGACGATTGTTTATGTGCTTTACGAGGTTTGCAAAAGAAGTGCAACAAAACATACTGGCATTAATTTTACAGGATACATATGAAAACAGTTTGGGTGTAGTGGTTAGAAGAGCATTTTCCACACTACCGACCCCGGGTTCGAATCCCGTAATATCATTTTTTTTCATTATCTTTTATTTCATTGTCCTTACAATACATAGC